CTGAATCATTGTGCACGAAGCGCGGACAATTATAAAAATAAACGGATTGCCAACAATAAACGTGGAGCGTGAAATTGCTCTCGTTGAACGTAGATCCGTTTCTGCGTTTCGTGTTTGATCGAGGGACGGTGCTAAATGAAATTAAACCGTCTGGATACCGATACCGATACCGTTCAAATATAACGTTCCCGTTATCGTTTGATATAGAGTGCGAGGAGGTCCGATGGTCATTGGCTAATTAATTGCCAAGAATTTCGGTCGATTCGATGTGCACTCGCGGAAATCAATTCGCGATGGTTTCGACCGCGGAACAATAAACTGCGAGCAGGGAAATAGTATCGGTTCTGAAAAATTGATTTTCAATAACTCTTCCGCATTCCCCGGGAACCGAATATTCCGGTCTATAGTTTTTCCATAAACCCGATCAATTGACTCGCCGCCATGTTTCTTTTTTCTTCTCTTTCTTTTTTTTCGTTCCAGAATGTTGATTCTCCAGCTCGAGTTTCTCGAACGAGGATTTATTTCTTGCGGCGCGGAGTCTCCCGTCTGCGGTGCGCTTTAAGAGAACATTCAACCGCGATGAAATGCATTATTGCATGTTTACTATGCGCTTAAATCGGGGCCGGCACGAGGCACTTGCGGGGTCTCCGTGATCTTATCAGGCTACTGTCTCGTGTGCGCCGGCTAAGTCAATTTTCTGAGTACTGATTTGGCGTTTTCAGACCGTGAGAATCGATTCGTGCAGTTCGTGAGAATCGACTCGTTCAGACCCGGCTAAAAATATTTAGGAAATTATTGGAAACAGTTAATGGAATACTCTTGTTCGTGTGAAATAACGTTTTAAGATTTATTCGACAGCATAGGGAGAAGTACATTATATGGAAAATAGATACAGTGGCCCACAAAAGTGTTCGTACACCTTTTAAAATGCAATAACTTTTTTAAAACTGGACTAAGTGACTTGATTTCTTTTTGGACGATAGCGGGACTGGACTGTTAGACGGTGATCAAAATGCTTTTCTTAAATATTGCTATTACTTGGAATGACACAACACATATAAAAAACTCTTGTTCTTTAACTTTTTTATCTGAGCCTTATAAAAAAAGTTTTAAAAAAATTATTACATTTTAGAGGATGTACGAACATTTTTGTGGGCCACTGTATCTGTGTTGAGGTGAAGAAAATTATTAATTGAGGTAGTATTTCCTTAAGATGTATTGGAAATAATTATTTGAAATAGTATTTCACGTGTCGAAAATTGTATTAATTATCTGAAATTCTATTTCTTGCTATTAATATTTACGAGAAAAAATCTGTAGAAAAAGTACAAAAAATAAGCTTTTTATTATATCATTATATAATATTTCTTGAACTATATGTATATATTTTTTGATATTATATATTTAGAACTATATTTTGAAATAGTTTTGTGCAAAATTACTGAGCAAGCTAATTGTTTAGGTGAATCGAATGGTACTCGAAATGATACCGATATTCTTGTTGAATATTGTTGAGATTAGTTATTTCATCTAATTGATCAATAATTAAGGTGATACCGATGCTTCTGTCAGGAACGATTGAACGCTTATTAAAATGATGAAAAGGCTATTTAATTTTTAAAAGAACGACAAACAGCTACTTAATTTCTTAATGCAGAAATTCGTGGTTTGAATTCATTAACAATAAAGGTACTAGATAGTACTAGCTTTCTGATTTATTTGGAAATTCATTTTATTCAGATTTATTAAAAAATAACTAGACTTTACTAAAGTACACGAACTTCGATGGTTTCAATTAACATAATTTCAAGGACCACGCGAATGGTAAATATAGAAAATATGGAAATGCAGTGTGAAATATCCCGAAGCACAGGTTCGTACAAATTCTGGCCAACGGTCATTAAACATGACTGTGTGTCGACAGTTTCGAAACAGAGAACATATACAAATATTTTACATAGCCCGTTAAACTATCAAACATTTAGCGTGTACACTGTCGTGCTGCAATATTTATTCTCTCTGTATGAATATAGTGTAATAATAAAGTTAGATTACAGTAGATTGTGCGCTGACGTTTCATGCAACATTTGGTGTCAAGCACAATCCATGGAAGTTTGCATTTCCATCAGAAAATCATCAAATCACAGATATTTAANTTTTTTAAAACTGGACTAAGTGACTTGATTTCTTTTTGGACGATAGCGGGACTGGACTGTTAGACGGTGATCAAAATGCTTTTCTTAAATATTGCTATTACTTGGAATGACACAACACATATAAAAAACTCTTGTTCTTTAACTTTTTTATCTGAGCCTTATAAAAAAAGTTTTAAAAAAATTATTACATTTTAGAGGATGTACGAACATTTTTGTGGGCCACTGTATCTGTGTTGAGGTGAAGAAAATTATTAATTGAGGTAGTATTTCCTTAAGATGTATTGGAAATAATTATTTGAAATAGTATTTCACGTGTCGAAAATTGTATTAATTATCTGAAATTCTATTTCTTGCTATTAATATTTACGAGAAAAAATCTGTAGAAAAAGTACAAAAAATAAGCTTTTTATTATATCATTATATAATATTTCTTGAACTATATGTATATATTTTTTGATATTATATATTTAGAACTATATTTTGAAATAGTTTTGTGCAAAATTACTGAGCAAGCTAATTGTTTAGGTGAATCGAATGGTACTCGAAATGATACCGATATTCTTGTTGAATATTGTTGAGATTAGTTATTTCATCTAATTGATCAATAATTAAGGTGATACCGATGCTTCTGTCAGGAACGATTGAACGCTTATTAAAATGATGAAAAGGCTATTTAATTTTTAAAAGAACGACAAACAGCTACTTAATTTCTTAATGCAGAAATTCGTGGTTTGAATTCATTAACAATAAAGGTACTAGATAGTACTAGCTTTCTGATTTATTTGGAAATTCATTTTATTCAGATTTATTAAAAAATAACTAGACTTTACTAAAGTACACGAACTTCGATGGTTTCAATTAACATAATTTCAAGGACCACGCGAATGGTAAATATAGAAAATATGGAAATGCAGTGTGAAATATCCCGAAGCACAGGTTCGTACAAATTCTGGCCAACGGTCATTAAACATGACTGTGTGTCGACAGTTTCGAAACAGAGAACATATACAAATATTTTACATAGCCCGTTAAACTATCAAACATTTAGCGTGTACACTGTCGTGCTGCAATATTTATTCTCTCTGTATGAATATAGTGTAATAATAAAGTTAGATTACAGTAGATTGTGCGCTGACGTTTCATGCAACATTTGGTGTCAAGCACAATCCATGGAAGTTTGCATTTCCATCAGAAAATCATCAAATCACAGATATTTAAATAATCATAATACCAGAAAATCATAAAATCACAGATATTTAAATAATTATGACTTCCTGAAATCATAATTATTATGTATCATATATTATTGATACTTATCAATCATAATTATTATGTATCATAAATCATATGTATATCAAAAGATCACAGATATACAAATATATATATATATATATAATATATATATAATCATAATTTCAATCACAGATATTTAAAGAGATTTAAAAATCACAGATATTTAAATAATTATAATATCAGAAAATCATAAAATCACAGATATTAAAATAATTATGTTATTTCAGAAAGTCATATATTTAAATAATTACAACATCACAGGTATTTAATCAATCATAAAATCACAGATATATAATTAGTCATAAAATCACAGGAATTTAATTAATCTCGAATCGATGTAATTAATTCCGGGTTCGTCGAACGAAAAGGAAACTCGCACAAAAACGCACAATGGGCACGGTATAATAATGAATTTCCTGTTCCCAGTGTGTCAGCGAATTAGCAAAAATGAATTCCTCGAGTTCGCCAAAGGCATTGTAGAACAGAGAAAGTCGAGAGCTCAGGAAATTCCGTGCGTCAATCGACGGAAAATATTGAGCGGTCCGATTGTAAATGCCTATGATGCAATTAGCAGGCTTTGTGATTCGGTGCTCGTTGAATATTTAATACGAGAATGGTCCAGGCTCGAGCTCTCCGGGAATAGTTTGATGAACCGTATTTTATGAAAGACTTAGCTTTTAATACGGCCGCGCCGCGACATTTTCATCGCGAGATATCCGCCAAAGGCACAAAGCATTCCGTCCGAAATAGTCTGTGGACTAAAAGCTATCGTAAAAGAGCGTCACTCGACCACACGTAGACGTTCGTTCATCGGTGAACGTCGTTTTTTAAAGCACGCTGGCCGAGTTTCTTTGTGGGTCGCACTTTGGGGACACACGAAACGCCCCAGACAATGTTAATTTTTGCCACGCGATGATGTAAATGCAGACGCCTCTGTCCTGCTCTCCTTATAGCCTTTTCTCCCACTTTTTTCTCGTACAGAAACTGTGCGAACGTGCGGCCGGAAATTCGTCAAGCAGCGACCTCATTATCAACAAGACAAGAACATTACGAAATTGTGAAATTTTTTTCCATTTTCCTTGCGCCGAAACTGTTCGAAGTTGTGTGTACGAATTTCAAAGACAATGAATCCTTTTCAACCAACAAAAATTTCTCAATTATAAAATTTTGTTATCACTTCTTAGATAAAAACTAATACGAAGTTGCGCCCACAAATTCGTTAATCTACGATCATTATCAAGCAAGAAAGATTACAAAATCACAACATTTTTCTTGCAAGAGAATCCGTGCGAAATTCTGCGCATCGTCTAAAACAATGATCTCTTTTCAAATCATCAATGTTCAAATCATCAATGTTCAAATCATCAAATCAATGATCTCTCAAAAAAAAAATTTTTCATACTTCTTAAATAGAACTGTGAAATAATATCCTCAAATTCGTCGAGTAATACTTCCTGAACCAGGAACAATTTTAGTTAATACTAATAAGAATAAAACAGTGCTATTAATATTGATAAAAATAGTGACAATGAAGATGATGATGATACTCACTTTTCCATCTGGACTGCATACTTTGATACCCGCTAGCGAGACTATCAGAAGAACTGGAGTAGACCGATCGCTGTACTAAAAAAGAAAAACAAACGTTTTTGTATTACAAATTACGAAACACAATATTTATCGAGAATGTTTAATTTCTGACTATTATGTTTTGTTAGCTTGCTTTACTAGAAGCCTAAATTTTACGTTATTTCACACTTTTATAAGCAGCTTTTAGAAAATTTTATTTGCTGCAATAATAATCCTTGTTTATAAATTAAACATCCAGAAAATTGTATTAGATTCTTTATTGTAAGCACAGCATAGACTCTTCACTACGCTATTGCTATTGTTATTGACAAGACCAGAGTCATTCACACACTCATTTAAAATTTTTCTCCTCATACCTCTCAATAAACTACATTTAATATAAAAATTGCAAAACTGTTCCAAATTATATTTTGTAATTTTCTAACTCTACAGTACATCTTAGACGGTATGATTCACAACTATACTGCATATTTTGTGCTTTTATATCATTCATTATTGCTTAAAAATGTCTACTTACTTGCACGATAACTAGATTGCAGAGTTTTTGCATTTACAATAAAACTATATATGTGAAATTTCAAACAGTGAAAATATTAAAAGAATTTAAAGACATTTATGTATTATTTTCAACTAATTGAAACAATTAAAGAAAGAAGATAAGTTTTATTTCGCAGAAAGATTTGCAGTCCAACTATAACAAAGAGTTATATTTAATATAAGTATACTTAATTTTAAATTTAAAAATTATGAAGACATAAGAAGAATTTAATAACACTGTTTATCAATATTAAGAAAAGAAACAATTTATTTCTATTTAAATTCTGTTTCTAACAATCAGTTTGGAAAATTTGTATTTTACGTGATATTTAACCAGCTGTTACAGTGCAACGAATTAAATAATGAAATTCGCATAAACAACGGTCAAGCAATGATCGAGCAATAGATTCGACAAGAGACGAATAATCGGAGTATCTATTGTTGAAGATGTTTTAATGGGCGTCGGCATCATCTCGAAGAGGAAGAGTACCGAAAAAGCTCGAGGCCATTTGCCACTTTTTCGATTAGAAAGATGGCAAAGCGAGCGGTACGATTGAATGTAGCACTGACAACGACAAAATATTCCCTATTTCCCGTCGGAGACGCGGCTCATTGTCTTAAAAACCTACTGAGGTGGTTAGACGTAGCCTGAGTAGGAGAAAGGGGGTTCGCCGGTACAATTACTGTAAAGCAGGGGACGGTTTTCGATAACGGACGCCCGACGCGCTCTCGCTTTTTATACGGGGTGACCCGCGAAGTCTTTTCTTCGTTTGCAGAACCGTCACCGTGACTTGACAGCTGTCAGCTTTTACGGAATGAGAAATGAGAGATCATTGTTCTGATTCGCACGCGCGCGCCAGGTCTTGCGAAATATCTGTTAATTGCCGAGGGATGGAATCTGGCGGATCATTGTGCGTTCGCAGCATGCGCGACAAAGAATTTGCATCTGCAAAATGTGGTAACGTGTTTAGGTTAATCAACGAAATTCCTCTCAATTTAAAAAGATTTTGCAAATCGTTTAAAAATCTTTTATTTCTCAAATTTCCGATTTTGTTTATTTATCTTTTTAAATAACCTGCAGAGATGAGGAATAAGAAAATCTACAATACATTGATTGTTACAGGTTTTTATGCAAAAATAAAATTGTCTGCATTAATTGCAAGATACAGAAGCTACGTGATTATTCGTTTCTTTCGTTAATTATTTTATTTTACATTTATTTATTTTGCATTTGATCTACTCGTGTTTATAACAAATGCCTAAAATTCACGGTTTACTTATGCGGGGCTAAATTTATATTGTTATCCATTTTCTTCAAAATGTAATAGAATTCTCGACAATTTTATGAGCATTAGTTTGCAACAGTTCATTAATTATATGTCAATTTATAATATACAAAAAAATTCTAATAATTCGTGTAGTAAGTTTGATTAGAAAAATAATTTCTAAGTCTGTCAATTCATTCTGTCACATTTATTTATGTACTGCACTGTCGTATATTGTTGATACAGCTGTTATTAAATCTGTATGATTTGTATATTTGCTACGTTAATTGAAAACCGTTTTGTGGAACCTTATGATAGCACGGATTTAGTAACTCTTATCTGATTGTACACTTTATTGAAGAACTTGGGAGTTTTAGAATTTATTAAAGAAACTAAGAACTCTCTTAAGAATTTATTAAAACAACTTTGGAACTTAAGTATTCATTGAATAAATTAGCAGTTTAAGAATTTATTAAAGAATTTAGAAATGGAAAAATTTATTAAGAAATTTAGGACGGAAAAATTTATTAAATAATCTAGAAACGGAAAAATTTATTAAAGAATTTAAGAACTTAGGAATTTATCATAAAACTCAGGAACTTAATCATTTATCATTAACTTGATAATTTATTTAAAGACTTAGGAACACGAGAATTGAAAGACTTGCGAACTTAATAACGAAAAGTCATGAAAATTTCTTTAAAAAACTCAAGACTAAATTTTTCAGGACCTTCAAAACCTTCATGAAACAATTTTCCAAACGAATCGAAAATCTTCTCTGAATCGTTACGCTGAAAACAACGCTGAGATAAGAAAGTTCAATAACCCTGTATCGATATCGGTCGCTTATCGAAAAGCTCGAACAGGTAATCACCGAGAAAAGGCTCCGCAGAATTTATAATAGGAAAGTGTCACCGTTGGTAATTGCAGTGAGTGCAAAACGTGGTATCCGTCCGCATCGGCTCCGTCTCGAAAACGCAATATCCCTAATGCACACACGTAGCCCGGATCAATTCCAGTGACCCAGTATACGTCGTCCATGTTTTCCCCTCAATTACGATTGACCGCAGGAAGCGGGACATATCAAAGCAGGCGGTTGATATAGAGAGAAGCAGCACACCTCGACAATGCGGGGGTGGCCGAGCTACAAAGATCGCGGGCCGTTTATTCGCGGACACCCGTTGCCGCGGTCACCTTTGTTCGCCGGGGGTGATTAAAAAGTTGCTGAGTGAGTCGTGTCGACAGGAGGATACGGGGCGAAGCAGGCATAGAGGGACGGTGGAAGCCGACGACCGTGGAGAAACGCCGAAGACAGAAGAATGTCGGAGACCGAGAACCGTGGATAATGTTCTTGGAGAAGAGAAGAGAGGAGAGGAGGAGACGGAGGAGACATTCGGTCCAGAGAAAAATGGAGAGGAAGCAACGTCTAGAAGCAAGGGTTGGAGAAGAGACAAATTGTGAAACGATGGAACGCAAGAAGAAGGAAGCGTTTACGAAGCAGAAGTTGACGAGTAAAAGACAAGGTGAGAGAGAAATCAAGTCGAGCGAGTTTAAAAGAAAGTGTGGAAGGTAGGGGAAAGAAAGGAACCAGGAAGGTGAAGTTTGAAGAGGATGAGGAAGATAGAGAAATAAAAGAAGATACATCCAGAAGAAAAATAAAGGAGAGAAGCGTAAAATAAGTTGAAGAGAGAGATGGAGTTTGAAGAGGATGAGGAAGATAGGGGATAAAATAAGTTATATCCAGAAGCAAAATAAGGGAGAGAAGAATAAAATAGGTTGAAGAAAAAGATGGAGTTTGAGGAGGATGAGGGAGACAGAGAAAGAAGATAAGATATATTTAGAAGCAAGATAAGGAAGAAGAGAATAAAATAGCTGCAAGAGAAAAATGTCGTTTGAAGAGGATGAGAGTGATGGGGAATTAAAGGAAGATATGTCCAGAAGCAAGCTACGAGGGAAAACGATAAAATAGGTTGAACCCTTTGCACTGGAGTGACGACTCTGAAGCATCGCTAAAAATTTCTATACTGCGTTTAAAACTGTGAAAAAAATTTACAAGGGTAAATATTGTAGGAGCCAATATGATCGATTTCATATGAACAAAATGCAATAAACCATATCCCACGATTTGGAATTAAAACAGCTTCGAGTGCAAAAAGTAAAGCAAAATGAGTAATAACAATATACAGAAAAATAAATGAAAATATATTCAAAAGCAAGAATAAAATAGGTTTGACAGGAATATCGCAGAATGGAAGCACAAACTAAAAGAAGAATGGAAGGAGAAAGAACAAGTGATGCACATGGACAGAGTTTGAAGATCATGAGCAAGATAGGAACATTATAATAGATACAGCAGACAGATAAAGGAGAGACGGCCTAAACCAAGCGTAACAGGAATACGACAGATTAAAGTTGAAAGTAATATAAGATAGTAGAGGGTTTCGAAAGGACATGGCAAGAGGATGAAGATGAATAAAATTATTTTGGAAGAAGGTAAAAATAGAGGCAATATTAATTGATGCCAAAATCAGGAATAGAACAAGAGGCACGGAACAATGCATCTAGGGGAAGCATAAGGGAAGGGAGGCAGCTCGTAATACTTGTAGAAAACAGAGAACAGGGAACATCCAATAAGATACTTGTAGTACGCAGAGAAGGGTGGACACAGAATAAGACACTTGTAGAAGTCAGAGAAGGGTGAGACATGCAATAAAATAGTTATTGAAGACAGTAAAGAGAGAACATAAAATAAAATAATGATGGTAGAAGACAGAGAAGAGGGAACATAGGATAAAATACTTGTAGAAAGAGAAGAGAGAACATGGGATCAAATACATGTAGAAAGAGAAGGGAAAACATACCATCAAATTCCTGTAGAAAGCAGGAAAATGGGAACATAAAATAAAATAATTCTTGTAGAAGACAGTATAGAAGCAAAGTTAAAAGGGAAATTACATTTACCGTAGCTTCGACTCGAGAACACATTCAACATGATTTCTTTGTGCATGAATCCCTTCATTTGATCTTATGAGACCCTAGAAAGGTCATTTTACATGAATGAATTCGTTTTGGCATATGTTGCCACATGATATAAAAAATACATAGCATTCCATTAAAAAAAGTGGAAACCACTATAATTCATAAGAAGATAATGCAGATTAAAAACAATTACAGACAGCATTACATTGCTTGCAAAAGAACAGTATAACTTGTACCCTTTTCATATTTTTTTAA